AATTTTGGTCTTCAGAGTCCTTTGATTCTTCCTGCATAATTTTATTTCATTTATATTAATGATGATGCTTCCCAGCTTTGTGTCACCTGCATGCGTTGTTGCAGAGTGCTGGTAAAGGTAGGGTGCACAAAATAGGATGAGCTCTGACACCATTTCTTGAGGACTTTGAGTAACTTTCTACTTCAGGTTCTTTACTTATCAGGCCAATTTTTTTTCTTTTAATAATGCCTATTTTACCAGCTGAGCTAATCAGTTTCTGTGTGGCAATTTAGTAAATGCTTAAGTGGAGCCTTGATGAAGAGGAGCTCCATCAGGTAATTACATTACCTTAATGTAATTCAGCTAGGTACAATATTAGAGTGGAATAATGTTTCCTTACCAGGTTATATTGTCTTCTGTAGCACAGTCCATTTTCATCAGAAACATATGTTACTGCTTCCCTAACTAAAAATTTGTTTTGAATCCTTACAAACAGATGAAATAAGACCAATGAGTTTTTTAATTGCTTAGATAGCTTGTTATCCTTGTCTTTTATATTGTGACAATACATAGCATTTTCCACTTGTTTTGTAAAGTCCTGCGTCATCCCAGATTTAGTAGCTTAATTAGAAGTGATTCTTGAAAAAGATATACTTTCACCCAACATTTTCTTTGGAATCACTGTTTTATTTTTGAGGCATCACTTCTCCTAAGAACTTAGAGTCTTAAGTGTTAGTCTAGGATCAAAATTGGATAGAGAAAGATGGATACACAAAAATGAGGAAAATACTCACTTGTAACCAGTATTGCTAATTTTTGACAGATGGCAGCTGAAACGAAGGTGAATCCAGATATACTTTATATATATATATAAAACTATATATATATAGCTTCCACATATGAACTTATGTCTATAAATAATACTTTTTAAAATATGAACTTTTTCCTTTTAATTCCTTTCTTACAGTAAAAGTGCATGTTTGGAGGAAGGAAAAATGTTACTTTTAGAAATTCTCTGCTCCTGATCTGGAAAGGACCTTTGTGGTTTTAAATGTTTTGTTTTAATCAGAAATCAATTTCCAGCTACCCTTTAAAGTGATACCTTATCTGTCCTATACTTATGTACTGCTTAATTTTTTACTCCTGGGAGGTTTTCTGTCACTCTGCTAGCAAAGAACTTATTAACTTACATTTATTAGGAGAATGTAATTTCTTTCCTGTTGATAAATTTAAGAAGATATTTGAAGAATGATTTAAAAGTAATGGTAAGCTTTTGGATTTTTTTTTTTTAATTGGGCTATAGAAGATAAAATCAGGAAATCATGACAGTAGCCAACCTTTGGATTTTGATATGGATATTTTACAAGGAAAATAAACTAAAGATTAAGAGAAGAAAATAATCCTGTTTTAGTATATAGTTCATTTATTTCAACTAGTTGCATTCTTGAGTTAAATTTAGTAACTTCACTTAGCTATTCTAAGATTTCTCCAAACATTTCAGATACAGATGCAACTATAAAATATATTAAATATATAATTTTTACTGTTTGAAACACAAAATTATTATAATTTTACATATTAATGTTGTTGTCACCATTATTATATAGTGTTTAATTATCTGGAGGTTTTTTTCCATTCTTATTTTTACTTATTGAGGAATTTAGAAAAAAAGAATTTGTTAAATAATATGTTACCATTGTAAATTCAGCATGTAAACAGAAAAAAACTATGAAAAAAAATACCAGTTTCAAAGCTTTAAGCATCTACAAGCTCAGTGATTTTAAACAAAAAAGAAATTCCTGGAGCATCTAGTCTTTCATTTTTGCATGTTGTGAAACTAAATAACTCATCTGAATAAAACATAACTAAAACTTAATTTCTCCCCCTACAAAAAAGTCAGATGTATAACGTTACTTGTGTCAGAGTTTGAGGAAACCAGACCTGGGGTAGTGTTACACAACATGTCCTGTGATAAAAAATGAAGTTTATGTTTTCTTGCTCAGCACATTAACTCATTATTTATTATGCAATTTTCTCGATCTATTACAATTTAGAACTGACAGTTTCTGGGAACCTCTCATTTCTCATGCAGAAAGCAAATACATATCACTTTTACTCCCCCATATATAATTGCGAATTGATTTTAAAGTTGGATCACTTAGCTTCACTTTTCATTGTCTAATGTGTGGTGCTAAATGCTGAGGCTGTTGAATAACTAGAGAGTAAAACAATTGATTTTTTAAATGGTAATTGACTGTGGTCAATTATCATAGAACTGGGAGTGCGTATATTTCAGTCTGGTACCACAAACACTAATTCCCATGAAGGAATCTGGAGAAGAATTGAGGGCAAGTCAAGTCCATTAATACTTCTGATGCCTTGTGTTGGTTTTGGACAAACCAACTGGAGAAACAGAACTCCAAATAAACCACTCTCCTTTTGTTTCAATCTCTCCCCACCCCCTCCAATGATGAAGGGACAATAGGGAGAGATATAAGTAAAAAATAACAATTTACTAAAGGAAACAGCAGTAACTGCAAAGATACAAAGGAAAATGGTTTTAAGCCCACAAAGCCAGAAATTGTTTTCTAGTCCACAACCCCCAGGACAAAACCAAAGGACAAAATGGCAGCTGCCAGGTGGTTTCTCCAGGCAAATAGCTGAGGGGCTTCTCCCACTGTCCTGGAAAAAAACAAAGGGAAAGGATGCTCCACAGGAAGAAAGCAGGCAGCAGCAGCTCTCTCCCTCTTCTTGTAAAAGAATAGTCAATCAGCAGCAGTAACCAGCGGGGGCTAGCGACAGCTCCTGAGGCAGCCACAGCAGCAGTCTGTCCCAGTAAGGAACTCCTGGGGCAGCCACAGCAGCAGTCTGTCCCAGTAAGGAATGGCAGTAGCAACAGTTCCCACTGGCTTGTGTGGCATTTGAGCTGGGCATTTTCAAAAGTCTACAGAGGGACACCTTGTCTACCTAATTGGATAACTATCTTTGGCCGAAAATCTCTGAAGCCCCTCCAAGACTTCTGGGCTTCTCTGTTACTGATTCAAGGATCTTGACAGAATTCAGCATAAAGTTACAAGAGACCTGAGGATCAGATATCAGCTCAGACAGGTCTCCTTGTCCAAATGTGTTTGGAGATCCGTGATCTTGTATTCCTCTAGCTGCTCCTTTTCATCAGCTTTTCTTCACTGGCACCTCTTAAATTTGCCAGTTACAAGCGAGACTCATCCCACTCTCCCCATGCAGAGCCCAGATGATCTCACTGGAGCTACTTTCAGCTCTTCCCAATGGCTTTGCAATGTTTCCAGTACTTTCCTCTAGCAGTGCACTGTACTTTCTGGCTTTGTGCATTGTGTCATTCAGGCACACTGGCACAGTTGATTTCAGATTGTGTTTTCCTACCTGGATGCTATCACGACATTCTGAGAAAATGCTCTGGGAAAGTAAATTTCTGCTCCAGTGCTGAAATGCTCTTATACTGTCTTATCTCTGACTTTACATAAATATTGCTGTAAAGGGTTAGGGTTTAAGTAACTTAAAATACATTATCTTTACTAAGAGCTTCTTATCAGAAAGGTAACTAAATTCACTTGAGAGGAAATTAATTTCCTCACGGAAAGCCAATACATTCATTTTCACTGGGAAAAAAAGAGAAAGTGCAATCAAAAGACTCTTTCCAGATTGAGAGAAACAGGACAGTGATAAAGGTATTTGACACAGGGCACTCATGTTTTGCTTTCCTTACCCGTATGGGACTGCTCCTGTGTATGTGGCAAGCCACAGCCTAAAAGGTGCCAACAGCTGGGTGAGAGAAAGGGAGTATGACAGCAGTTAAATCCTAGTGCATGTCATTGAATAATGCATCCTTCCATGATGATATGAGTTTTTTTCTAGTTTGTATTATAATTTATTCCTATATATTTGCTGTTTAAGATTTTATATAGTATGATTGGAGACTCAACACTACTCTAAAGCATCTGTGACTACTAATAACCTGCATACTGGTTCCTGGGACTTGAGGCGATTTCCTAATCAGTATTTGCTTAAAAATTAGTGTGGCTTGTGGTGGTATTATTAGTCATGAGAAATGGCTATAGTTTTTCATGTCAAAATAAGAAGTACAAAAGATCCATATTTAGTGTGGTGATTCTGTAAGAATTTGTATTTAGCTTCTATTTTAAATTTCATAGATTCAAGCATATACTCAATAATATCCAATTTTGACTGTTTAATTGAAATCAATGAGGCAGAACCTGGGCTGCTGTTCATTGATGTTCACTAACATAATTGGGGTTACAGTAACTGATAGTGATTTGTCATCTAGATCCATCTACATCAAAACCTATTTTATAGAATTATGCAGGACTGATTAAAGAAGAAAGAGAAACAATAACAGTATATACTACCAATTATTTAAGGTACATGATTTTACTCTAAACTTCTATGTCATTTTCTCAGTAAATTCAGTTAGTGTTGATGGGTGACATTTTTTAACCGTGCATTATTGATTTCCATCAAATGTACTTTTCGTTCTATAAATTTCCCTTAAGCTATCCTTAGTTTTTTGAACAAAATTTTTTTCACTTGAAAATTGGCAGAAAGAGCTAAGTATTTTTTATAGTGGCTTTGCCAAGTCCACTGGACCAAATTCCTCACAAATGTAATTTGCCTTGCTTTGCAATCAGTTTAGTTTCCAGATGATTTGGCTCATCATAGCTGAGAGAAATATGTAATGGTGACAAGGTATCTTATCTGAATGCTTTTTAAAAGTACATTAACTGAATGCTTTTTAAAAGTACATATAGCCTATGAAGAAATAAACAAAGAACAGCGGGGTTGATTTAAAGCCTCTTCACTTTTTGTAATGGAATCCTGTATTTGAAGTCATGTTCATTTTAATATACATGCGAAGTCCTTCAACATCATAAATCTGTTTTGAATGTTTATTCATGAAATAATTAATCTGCAGTCACAGGACAATTTATAATCTTCATAATCTTTGTCTTATTTTAACTATGTTACAGATTTACTGGCCTGCAGCAAAAGAAAAGGTAGAATTATGCAAATTAGCTGGGAAAGATGCCCATGTAAGTATGAGGTATACTTTTATTATTGCTGAGAATGTTGAATATCTGTATGTTTGTTTCTAAATACACAGAATGCATTAGTAACCACTCGTTACACTTTTTCTGAACTAACGTGCTAAGTGTTTTTTCTTAATTAAAAAAAAGTTGCACTTCTATTTTTTTATTTAAATATTAATGCTTTAAGAAAAAAATACTCAATATTGCACGGAGTAATCATGCTAGGTTGTTCTATTATATAATAAATGAAGCTGAGAGATGAGTGGACTCTCTTTTGAAATGTATCACAGACAATATTTCCCTTAAATCCCCCTTTTTTCCCATTAAAATGCTTCTTTTTTATTGAGAATATCCTGAATATAACTTTATTATAATTCATTAAAAAAATAGAGTAGCAGAGCAGAATACAAATTAACTTAATTTGCAGACAGCTGCAGTTAGGGTTAAAAGAAAATCTCAGATTCGTTAGCTTTTCCCTGAAACCATAAATCTTCTTCAGGAAGTTTCTTTAGGAAGTATATTTAAGGTGCATACATATATACAGTACAACTTTCATATCTTTTGCATAGCACAGATTACATCATGTGTCTAGAGTCCACTATAAATGTAAACATTTCCCAGCTGTATAATAAAATTTCTTCCTTTTTTCTTAAAAAATCTTATGATTTCCATCCAGTGTGTCAGTTACCAAGGTGGATTCCAGCTCAAAACAATCTCTCAGCTCTCTGCCTGAGATCTTTCAACTTTTTTTTGTAACTTATTGCTACCCTTATCTTTACAGCAGTCAAAACCTAAACAACACCTCTGCTGAGTGCTGGGAATATTCTGGTACTGGTGTAGATGGAAGATTTGTGCTGATCTATTTCTATACTAAGAAGAAAAGGAAAGGGTCCTGAGAGGGCAATATTTGTTTTGAACATAGATTATAAAAATCTTGGTTTTGCTTCCTACATTGTCTCTGCAGCTTGCTTCTCACTTAGCTGATAGCTTGAACGTATGGATAGAACTTGTGCATTCCCTCCGAAGTACTTGTAATACATTTCTGATTTAATTTCATTTGGAGAAAGGCTGCAGCAAGCCTTTCCTCCTAGTTCATGCACACTTTGCAGCATGTAGCAATTGCCTGTGCTGTTTTACCAGCAAAGACCAAGCCCAGATAGAGCTGGGAGTGATCCGAGATCCCACTGGACTCAGAAATGACCAAATAAAAGTAATCAGTAAGATGTGCTTGGTGCAGAGGAAGTTCACTCATACACAAAGCATACCCTTGGTAGTATGCTGAAGTCCTTCAGCCCACCACAGTTATTTTAATCTTGTAATCTTTGGTGTTAATACTTGTGCAGAACCCTAAGTTGGAAGCAAAAGCAGGAGGACTGGTAGCCGGACTAACCCAGTGGCTCTCTGACCTCTGCCTGGTTGTTGGCAGGTGTTGTTTGCTACAACGCAGGCTGAACAGATATCCCCCAAACTGCACTGTGAGCACAGAGCTCCTTGTGGCTGAAAGCATTACAGCGAAATTAGGTTTGCAAGTCTAATTGATGAACTGCCTAGTAGATAGCCACTGCAAAATTGTAGCTATCACATCTTCGAACTACTTAGTAAACAGTCTCTACTACAGTAGTTTTGAGTTTAAATACATCAATGCTGTGGCTATAACTTAGTAGAATGTATAATGTGGAAGAGAATAAACATAAAAATTAACCTTTATCTTTATTTTCCTAACAGACAGAATGTGCCAATTTTATCAGGGTCCTTCAGCCCTACAACCGAACCCATGTTTATGTCTGTGGCACAGGAGCATTTCACCCTCTCTGTGGATACATTGAACTTGGAACTCACAAAGAGGTAATTTAATTTCCTCACTACTCTGACATGTCAAGGAATAGCCCTGATCTTGTTTAGCATTCATCATAGATTGGAAAATACTATGTGAGTGTGTAAAAAATGACCTGACAGCAGCTTGCATAAATAACAGGGTAAATGGTGGATTTGCAGGTCAGACAGGAACTCTTGTTCTCACATTTGATATGTGCATATCGCTTTTGAACAAAGCACTTTCCTCAGGCTTAATACACAAAGTTCTTCAGAATGACACTTCCATGTGATTAACTAAGTGAAGAGAACATCTAACCCAGATATCTTGCTTTCTAGTAAGTCATTTCTGCGCATACTTTCCTTTCGTACATACACATACATTCAGAGTTCAAGATGAAACTTGTAGTTCTGTCTTCTAATGCACATATACTCTTGGTCCACAGAGATGGTTTTCTGCTCCATGTGAATGAGAGTAATATACCATTGAAAAAGGGCCTCTGAGCCTGAGTCCAAGGATGGCGTCTCAGGACTTTGCAGTGTGTTTCAGTTTGTCACTAAGGAGATGTTGGGTGTCCTCCATCTCTGGTGGCATATTCCAGATCTGAAGTTAGCAGCTGATTGGTCTTCATTTGCTGGTGACAAAGAAATCTCTATCCTAAGTGGTAGATGTTTGAGACCTAACCCCCACAACATAAGAATTTTGGTGTTGTGTCAAGCAGCCACTTAGTACACAAGTCTCTTTTTAACTCCTTTATGTGTAACACCTTGGCTATATTTATACCACTGGCACTGTTCTCAGACAGTGTTGAGATGTGACCTGTCTGGCTGCTTGCCTGTGGTACAGGCTTCCTATGCTGATATAGAAATAGCTTTCTCCTTTCCTTTGGTCTTGCCGAAATTCTAGAATATAAGAAATAAGCTCTAAAGTTGTTAAGTGCAATAATCTGGAACAGAATCATAGAATCATAGAATGATTCTCGGGCCCTTAAAGATCACCTAGTTCCAACCCCCCTGCCATGGGCAGGGACACCTTCCACTACACCAGGTTACTCAAAGACCCATCCAGCCTGGCCTTGAACACTTCCAGGATTGGGGCACCCACAACTTCTTTGGCAATCTATGCTGGTGTTTCATCACCCTCACAGTAAATTATTTCTTCCTAATATCTAATCTAAACTTATCCTCTTTTGTTTAAAGCTATACCCTCTTGTTCTATCACTGATATATGGAATCAGGGGCAGATCCTTACAGAAAAAAAAAAGGGATTAATGCTTGCCCAGACCGAGACCATCATTATGTTCCCCACAATCTGTGGGTTGTCTGATCAACCCAGAGGGTCTACCTGTGTTACAAAAAACTGAAGCTGTGTGAAATCTGCATGGTGTTCTTCCCCTAATAAGCCATTAATGCTCCTGGTATTGTCTGGTATATGCTGTATAATTTGACTTACAATTAAATAATTCTGTAGACTTCTTTGCTTTGCTACTTTAAATATTCCAGCTGAAGCAACTGAAATTTTAGATGCCTTGTATCATGCTGATTTCTTAGCCTGAATGATCAAATACACAGCTGAATGGAACAGAACAGCTCTCAACAAGAGTATAAGTAAGGCTCTGGTTTACCTCTGGGTCATTAGCAAGATGCCTTATTCACTCTACCATTGCCCTACTTTATTGCAACATTGTGAAGGTTGTTTTCATCAGGCCTTATGAAGTTATGGATTTGGTCTGATTGTTCAGTCTAGCAGCCAGTCTAGACAAAGGGTCTGTCCCAGTTAGACGTGACCAATTACTTTATGAGAGGAAATGGAAGACGAATCCTGGTATTGTATTTCCTAATCCTCTCACTGTCTCCCAGTCCTGCCTCTCCCACATTCCTTTTAGTTGCTCAGCTGCAATGGTAGGTTGGACGGTGTTCAGCGCTGCTCCTGCCTCTTCAGACACAGCAGCTCTTCTACAGCTTCCTACTGAGTTATCAGCCTTGAATGGCATCAGGCATATTTTCCCTTTCCTTCTTGGAGCCCAAACACCCTAACAGCCACCATCCTTGCACTGCCTCTCCAGATAAATGTGACAAGGCAGGAGGGTGCTGAGGATAGACCCATTGATGTGAATTTGACAGGCAGTTGAAAATGTCTCCTTTAGGAACTGAAACCTTGAAGGATCCTGAGTCCTACAGTACAATTCAAAGTACTTTTATTGCAAATACATTCTTTTAGTATTGTTTTTCCCCCATTTTCTCTTTCTTTTTTTTTTTTTTTTTAATCTCTGAGTTATAAGAACAGATAATGAATCTCTGGTAATTAGCAACCTCTCCAGGAAGCTGTGGCATGCCTGGGAGAGCCAGGCCCTGAGATAGCCTCATGGAGACTGTGAAACTGGGCAGAGCTCTGCTGACCTTTGAAAGCTGCTGGTGGATCTGCACAGTGCTCTCCTGGCCAGCACCAGCGCTGTGAAAACAGAGAGGAAAACAGTGTGGATCAGGTGACTCAAAACCACAGCAGACACTGCTTTTGAAGCAGTACAAATCCCCAACGGGATCACACAATTAAAGGGGATTAAAGTCCTCGTCTTGTTATTGCTCAAATCACTGCCAAGACTTCTCTTGGCTGGTGAAGAAGAGGCTTGGCCCGGTTGGTGCTGTTAGCCACAGCTCTCCAAGGGATGCTCTTTTCTTTGAAAGCTTTGCCTGAAGTGAAAGCAGGAGGTTAATTCTGTGTGAATGCCTGGTAGTGTCCATTAGTTTGTCTGGGGGAAGTCTGAAATATTTGATGTTGATCTATAACTCCCTCAGTCCCTTGAGTACTGCTGGGCTTGCAGACAGCCTCTTCACATGTGATAAGGCAAGGGTTCTCTGAGCTCAGGATTGCACATCCCAAAAGAAAGGAGAATGGGACACTGCGGTTTCACTGTCAGAAAAAAAAAGTTCTTAATTTTTAATTTAGTTCTGTGTTGTAGTGGGCTCACTTCAGTAGCCTGAGAATTTAGTTTGCTTGGTATTCCACAGGTGTGGGAAGGTAACAAGGGTTGTTCAATGATTAAATTCTTTGTATAAGCTAGGATTGCTGGAGGAAATGGAATTTATGTTCACAGATTGTAATTGATTTTTCTTTTCTCTTAAGGAGGTTAATTATTCAATATCCTGGGCTTTGTCTTCTGAGCCTAGAGAGTTTAGGAGGCACCTCAATAAAATAGAAAGGCTTGGTCATTTATAATCTGATGTGCATTAAGAATTAATTGAATTTAGTGTTATGAAGTCTAATCCTGTGTGGACATCTTTGGGTATACTTGCCTGTCATTTATACTCTCCAGGCCTCTTGCAAGGCAAAAGTATAGAAACGAACAATTAAAATGATTTCAGCCTTTTTAAAGTAATTGCTTAAATCATGAAGATGTTTTATTTATTTATTTTTTTTTTTATAAACTAGCTTCAAAAGTTTTGTCTCTACAGTAGACATTAAACCCACATTGATTTGATTCCTACACAACTGAGATTTTAAATATCACTGTAGGTAGGGAAGTATGTTAAAGCCACTTCTGCAGGCAAACTTCCTTCTCTTACCGGGAGCAGAATTCTGAAGGTCATGTCTCTATACCTGCAGAGACTTCACTTTACTCCTCTGAGCTACCAATTTGCCTTCAGCAGGACTCTGTATGGGTTTCAGGTTAAGTGTACTTTCAGGAAAGTAATGAAAGGGGCAAGTAAAAGAGTCCTTGTTGGCAATTTAAAACTACAGTAAAACTTCAAATTAATGCCTAGAGGAATTGAGTTGTTGATTGCCCACTGAAAACATCAAGAATAATTTTTAAATAATTTATTTTCTTTATCTTCCTCCATGCCCTTGTTTTGCAACCCAGGAATTAATCACACTGGAATGGGGAACTACCAGGAAGGATCTATTCTGATATCTTTTGTATCATTAGCCTTGTTAAAAATAACAAGAGAGAAAAAATGCTGCTTTCATTTAAAAGGGGCTGAACTGTGTCTGCTGTGAACATTATTCAGCAGTCCCTGGAGAAATTTCAGAGTCAGACAGAATCCCTTCAGGGTCTCCTGTTGCAACACAGTCTATCAGCACTATTCCAAATAGAAGCCAGTGCCTTTTAAGTACAATCCAGCTTTTAATTTGAGTAGAAATGAACAATGAATCTTTTTATCCTGAAAATAACTGTATTTTTTTTAGATTTGTCTTTCACTATAGAGTGGCCAGGATACAGTAAAACAATGAGTGAAAAACATCCAGATATAAAACAGAGACACAGACGGTAAATATCAATGCTGAGAGGGTAGAGGCATGATCCAACACACCTTCACTTTGTGTGTTAGCAGAACAGGTTGTCTAAGTGACTTTTTCTCTCTAGGCACACCAGGATAATCAATATGTGTTTATTCTTAGGAGATGGTGTTCCATCTGGATACTCAGAGCTTGGAGTCTGGCAGGTTGAAATGCCCTTTTGATCCTCAGCAGCCATTTGCCTCAGTGATGGCAGGTAAGAAACCGTCAGAGCCAGGTGCTCCTCCCAGATGTGTGATGGCTTTGGATGGGAGCCCAGGGTCAGAGGGTCAGCAGATGGCATTGCTGGAGGATCTCTGACACTGGTCATGTTTCCAGTGCTGGTTTGTGCCTTCAGAGCTGAGGAAGCCTTCAGACACCAAAGAGCTGGGGAGGCAGCAATACAAACAGAGGTATCAGAACGGCTGTGAAGCCTCTATCAGCCGGGTAGGAAGGCTGTTTCACCCTCACCTAGTCATTGCTCCTTTAAGAAGACAACAAAAAAACCCACATGGACAGAGAATGTTTGAAGCCCTTCTGGGCCTCTTTCTGCAATTATCAATATGTTCTGCCCTTTGAAGTCTGCTGACATCCACTATTTCCATAAATACATTTTTGAGGTTTCTATTTACTCGAGTAGCCACTTCTGAAGCTGGGAGCCGAGGAACAAGATAGTGCAATCCGCCTGCTGCGTGCATCACAGCGCTGTGTGGTCTGACATCGGGGCCGAGGAATGTCAGCCTGACCTCCGCATTTCAAATCACTATGAGAGCTACTTTTGTCATGGTTTGGTTCATAGCTTTGGACAATTTTCATTTAGCTTGTCCGTCAAGCATATGAATACAAGATAAGAGTGAAGCACCATGACGTTTTCATTTACAGCCAAAGAGCAGTGGTGACAGTGCTTTGAAGTATCGGTCACTCTGTGTTATAAAAAGAATATGACTAATGTTCAGTCTTTATTCTCAGATAATAAGATAGATGATTTGTGATTCTGACCCTACAGATGGGGCAGGACTTCCTTTATTAAAAACAATAGATTAAAGCCAGTGCTTATTCTTCTCAGAGACCCCTAGTACTGTTTAATGACCATGAAGTCTATTTTTAAAATGGGATTCTAGAAACTTTAACTTTTTTTTTAGCTTTTTTAAACTTTTTTTTTAAATGCAATAAAACTCTCTAATTTATTACAGCATTGCCTAATTTCAGTAGCGTTCTAGTGCTTTGACTGTTCTACTAAGTCTTGTGAAATGAAGCTTCTGTCTTTTAGCTACCTTAGACATGAACTTTGCTACATAAGAATTTTTGGGCAAGATAAAACTAATGGTCAGGGTATTCTAGTATCCTTTCTTTAACTGTGCCTGGTGTCAAGTGCTTCACAATAATGTACAAGGAGCACTGTAAAGAGTTACAAGGCCTGACCAGAGAATGTGTTTTTGGTCTATCTTTGGATGCTTACTTTATTCCCAAATGTGCTAGGAGAGCAGTATAATTCATGGATAGGATTCTGCCCTGGAACTCAGGGGAGAACATTTCCCATCTCTGCTACTGATGAGAGGAGTAGCCCTTGACATATCACTTCTCTCTCTCTAGTGTTATTTATCTGCCAAATGATAATAAAGATGACTTTGATCCTTCAGAAAACTTAGATGTTTATGAGCTAAATAATATCTGATTATATTTTCAGTCACATGTAAGTTCACACAACTGAGTAATTTTCATTCTTTGGAGAAATAGCTAATCTCTCTTTGAGCACTACATGACATTTCTCCCCAAGTAAATTCCACAGATAAATTAAAAAAACTAGTGGTTTTGACTGAAAAATCACCTGCTCGTCATCCCTCCTGTATTACAAGCTACCACTCACCAAAACTGTCCAGGACATGTCTGAAACTTGGAATGAGAGATACCAAAAGCTGAGAGAAGTGCTGAAAATGCCTTGTCAGCAGAGCCTAAGCAAGGATGGAGAATTTCTGTTAGCCCTTCAGATTTATCGATCACTGAGTGCCTGTCAGTTAGCAAACACCAATTACCCTGCCCATTTCTCATTATGACAAATACCTTTCAGAATGCACTATTGTTTCTTTACAAAGGCGACATGCTGTCTGAAAGATGTGCTTTCCAAAACTGTCATGGAAAGAATACAGAAGTAACAATAATAATGAGGTAAAAAGAAAGATGATAGATCTTTTTAGGACAAATAAAATGCTTGTGGATCATGGGTTGTGGGTTGGCTTGTTGTTTCTTTTTTTTCCCCTTGATCTTATTTTTTTAAGTGCATTTACATCTTTCACAAATGAAAGAACAAACATCTATGTTGAATGGTATTTATTCTGCATTCACTCTCAACAAAGGCTTCTCTCTAAAAGATCTTGTGAAATGTTTCCACCCTGGATTATCAGAAAACCTGGAGAAGGAACTCTTGGAAGGGGATTCTTATGTATCATATAGCTTTTTATATGATTATAATTTATGAATACGAACTTTTTTCATTTTATTAACTCTAGGGATTTATTGTTGCAAATCATTAAACAGAAAAAAAAAATCCCTCTTCCAACCAATACAGTTATCTTGTTATTTTACAGGGGGAAAAAAAAGAGTATTGTAAAATGCACTGTGTGGTAAAAAAAAAAAATAATCACAGTGATACTGTTTCTTTGCTTCTTTTTGAAAAGTACTAATATCTGAAGGGAAACAGAAAATATTGTGCATTTCTTAGGGTTTGCATTGCCCACAAAGCTGGCAGAAGAGTAAATAGTGACTGCAATTGAAGCAGGCACATGGCACTGTGTTATAGGTGCAGTTTCTTTGTGAGGTAAATTCTGGCTGCCTTGTTCAAGGAAAATACATCATTTATTTTAGCAAGACCACTCTCTGTGTAAAGATGATGATGATTTGGGTCTGTAGCCACATTCCTGATGTTACCACGTTAAATAATTGCAAAGAATTCCCATGGTGCCCGAATTCCTCTTCGTGAATAAAGTGTTGGATGGACATCCCTACACCAGAAATGGGCCAAGCTGCAAAGTTCCCATGAGGTTGCATCCATCATGGTTTTCTAGCTCAAGCCCAGGAGCAGCAAAGCCATCAGGGCCATGGCAAGCCTGGGACACAAGGATGGATAAATGGTCATGTCCTCACCACGGCTCCCAGGTCCATGGGGCAGCGTGTCCAGACTCTCTACATCTTCGTACCCTTAGAGCCCAGTACCCATTAAAGCCCAGAGAATTTACTTTTCTAAGGACCCAAAACCACATAAAAATATAAGTCAGTAATACTTTAAAATTAAATTAGTTCATAGACCAATTACACACAGGTGTTGTTCACCCAAAAAATCATAAACAGTTTTAATTTTGTTTGCCCCACAGCTGTAGAAACCCTATTTCTTTTTTATTTGCAGATGAGTATCTTTATGCTGGAACAGCTTCTGATTTCCTTGGCAAAGACACTGCTCTAACACGTTCTCTGGGTCCTTCTCACGACCACCATTACATCAGAACTGACATTTCTGAACATTATTGGCTTACTGGTAAGATCCCAAACATATGCTGTTGTCATTTGCATTGTCCCTGCCCCTCTGAAGTTAATAGCTCCTTTCTTATATAAATATGTGTCCAGTAACTACAAATATAGATATTGTATCATGATATCTTTGGATTACATAGGCTTTTTTAAAATAAGCTCAGTGGAACAAAAATGAACTTGAGAAAAGTCACAGAGGTGAAAATGCTAATTAGGGAAAGAGTAGGAGCATAAGACCTAATCATACTTTCCGTCTTTGATCTCTACATCTGTATATAGTCCTGTAATTGGAGTAATATCATGACTTAAATGCTTCTATTCCAGTCTTGTTGCTATAATTTTTTTTTTAAAAACCTTTTTTTCCAATCACTGGTTAAAAGCTGTTCCGTACAGCATGTTGAAATGACAGACTAGAAATTCCACGTTTTTAGGTAGGAGGTCTTTTTTTTTTTCTTTTCCTTTTTTTGAGGGGGTAAAACACCCTTTGTTGCTGTGAGGATCATTTTAAAACCACTAAGGGCACACAAAAATAGCTTCCCAAGCAAAACACTGCTTTTTCTTACCCGTTAAAAAACATTCTGAGCTAGTAAACCCTCTAAAAAACTGGCTGCATTTGCACCCAGCCAGTCTCAAACCACACACAGAGTAACATGGAAAACTTCACTCACAAGCTAACCCTGCTCAATTAAAGCATCTCCCTCTTAGCCGTCAGCTGTCTTTAGAGATGTGGCAACACTGGCCCTGGTTCAGGATGCCTGTGTAACTATTATGGGAGTATTGTAAAGCCAGGGCCTGCTGACCACAGGGTTAAGTTGTCTTCCCAGCAGACAACTTCTGAAGAAGATAATTTTTCCCTCTTAACTCTTTGAAGCCTCAAGAAGAGGAAATGTTCTGTTTTTAATTAATTAATTATTTTTCCCTACCTCTTCTCTTTCTTTTTCTATACTGCTGCCTTACATTTCTGTCTAGATGTAACTTCATAATCCCAAAATTTCTGCTGTGAGATGAGGAGATAAAGGAAAAAGCACTTAAATTTTTAACTTTCCAGATAGTAGCAATATTTTGGACAGCTAGAAAAATATCACATCTGACTCTGCTCACCTATCCCACTTTTATCTCCTGTGCTCAAAACCTTTCTTGTCCCACCTATCCTATCTCCTGTCTCTCATTTTCACACACCACTTGTGCAATGCAGACCAGTAATGGCTTGTAAGTTATATGGACCAGGATGATGTGTCCTTCCAGTAGGCAGTTCTCTAACTGTAATTAGCCTTGCAACTGCATATCCAGTTTTATCACTGCTGGCCCGCAGATGCTCAGTGTGGAAGCATGTCTGCATAGCTGCTTTCCTAAGGGATGCAATAATATGCTTAAAAAAAAAAGATTAACTGGATTTACTGTGGTTTGGCCCTGAGGAGCATCTGGTGTTATCATTAGTATAGATCCACCTTGATGAGCATTACAGGGTTCAGTTCCCAGCCCAAAAGAACTTACAGCTTAAATATCCAGTCCCAAACATTTCTTTGTGTTATTATTGTTACTTCATGAGCAGTTTAAGGCAAGAGAACAGTACAAGAAAACAGAATAAACGATAGGTTTGAGAACTGTTCATGTGTTTTAGTTTGGAGGCTGGGTGGGGGGTGTCTGCCTTTTTTCTTTAGATTGATTCATGATTTATTCTGTTTTCACTTAAAGCGTCTGTATTCATGAACGTTTTCTAAGGAGAATAGTATATTAATATGTCTGGGTTTGAAAAACAACTTTAGTGTGCTAGACTGTGAGGTGAAAATTACCCCACACTATATAAACACTGAAGACCCCATATATTCTTCAGGTTTACCTTGTTTCCAGCCATATAAAAACCTACAGCCACACTTTGTCTAAGACTTCACATACACAATCCATGCAGTGTTATACTAAGAGGCATAGATATAAACTAGGTGCTTTTAATATTTTGAAACAGACCTTTTAAGGCTGGAGAAAATTTTGAGTGCAACTCGAAATGACGGAATCATTTCTGCACTAAGCCATAGGGTGGCCAATATATTTGTAGTTTATTGTGTAATGTTACCAATTACATACTTTTGTACTTGCTGCCGATTTTGGTATAAGGAAAATATTTACTTGATTTCAAGTTTCAAACTCCCATCTCATCTAAATCCCATCTTCCCTAAATCTACCACCCATTTACCAACCATGTGTTAGACCTCCAGGAAAAGTTGTACTTGCTTGAATAATTGTACAATTAGAAATAAATGATTTCCAGGCATGACTCATGTTTTACTTAGGATAAGCATAAAATATATAGCTTGTTTTTTCCAGAGGGCCAAGGAAGTTTTGCTATAATGCACCTTAATATTTTTAAAGTTTAGTCTTATTCTGTTTCTGGAAACAGAATTATCCTTTCCTGAGGGAAGGGAGGGAAAGACAAAGCATAAGGGAAAAATGCGTGGGATACCTTCCAGTTCCTTGCAGGGCATCTCTGTCTTGACTAATTAAGACATGTCTTAATCTCAGTGACTGAATAGCAGCTCCACAGAGGAGAAAAGGAGGAAGGCAGCTAATCTTTCCCATGACTCACGCTCACACATGCTCACACTCCTGCACGCGGTGGCAGAGGGGATGCTGCCTCTGCTCAGACGTCAGCCCTTCTCCCGCAGAGCTGGAATCAGGCGTTCCCACAGCCACCGACTGGAGCTGCCTCTCCTGTGGCTGTGGCTGGGGATGAGGCAAGTGGGGCTGGTGGCCCCTCTCCGGATGGCAAAGCTGCCCACTGGAACCCAGTCTGCCCTGCTTCAGCTCAGTGGGCAGAGGAGAGCATCCCGTGGTAGAATACCCGAGCACTACACACAGGCATGCACTAAACAGCTGCACATTCCTCCCTCCTTCATAGGAAGCTAAGGCTATAGCTGGAATGAGGGTTTCCCTGAATTGTATTAACCTCTACTTTTTTTTTTTTTTTCCTTCTCACTTTTTTCATAGCAATTTAGTAGTCTTTTCCAGGGCAAAGACTTGCAGGCAATGATTTCTTTATATCCTGTGAACTTTGGATGGGATTCAGCTCCCTTAGCTCTAAAAGGCAAAAAGCTTGCATCCTGTCTGAGCTCAATCCTTTCACTTGTCTCTGTAATTTACTGAGAGAGGTGACATTTCCAGAGGGTGACTCACCCCTCCTATTGCAGGAATCCTTCTTAAAATAAGATTATTCATTTTTCCCTCCCTGAGAGAGGACCTGGCTGAATATTGGTTAGGAGTTTCACTTCTTGGTGATTATGATAATTGAGATGAGCACTATCCTTTGCATTTTATCCTGCCTCGTATTTCTGCCAGCCCAGCTACACAGACCTTCTGCCTTCCACTGTTTGAGGTTGCTTTTTAATTTTTTTATGTTCTGGGACAGCTACTCCTTTACTGCCTTCTTTTTCTGAGGCCTAACTTTTCCATAAGTGTTACTGAGGCACACGTGGTTGCACTGTATAAAATTACTGCTGGTTTTAGAAGGGTGTGACAGCCAGCAGGTAACCAACAGCACACATGGCCACTCCAGCCAACCCTACAGTGAAGGACCAGGTGTATCAGCTTTTCCCACTAGGCCACATTAGCATGTTTAAAAAAGCACGAGCAACACCTGTACCATCTATTGTCAGAGTTCATGATGCCTGTAATCCCCTATTTGATTGCATACAATCCAGTCGTGAAATTAATATGTGGGAAAATTTTCTCTTGAAGCAATTGGGGGGGAACAATTCTGCGTATGGGAAAAGAAATAGTGGTTTAAAATCATCATCATTCATTTGTTTCCCATGCAAAGAATCCAAAAGCCTAATTCACAGTTAGTTTAAATGCACTTTTTTATGTCAAATGGATGGGTTAGAAAAGATCAGACAAAGATCTCATTTGCAGAACATAGTGTGCTTTTCAGATCATAATCTCTTCCATTAAATTGTTTTCACTTTCTTTGTCTTCATATCTCTTACAGTGTATTTTTGTTTGAATTTAACTTTCAACTTCAGTGTTTTCAATTGTGATTTAAAATTGTTAAATATTTGTGTTCCTTTAATTTGTTGAAGATTCTTCTAAATGTGTTCCAGGAACTGGTATTGAGACATTTGTTTTTGCATTTGGCCTGCCAAAGAAAGCAATGAAATTTAATTTAAAAAAACCCATACATTCAGTGTTTTGTTCTATGAATGTGGATTACAGAGAAAAAAAAAATGGATGTGAATTTCAAAAGCATGGTATAGAAGTATTTCACAGGTTTTCCTATTAAATGGCTATTTAGCTAACCGCATATTTAAGAAACCATACTGCAAAAATACTTATTCATGCTTAGAGATCTAATCTTCAAAGTAACCTTACAGGCCCTGAGGAGTAATTGAATATTTTCCTCAGGCTCATTTAGAAATCCTAGCTTAAATTTATAGATCTTGATGCCTGCATCATTTCATTTTTCCTGCTGACACCATTCTCTAGTGTCAGAAAGGTTTAAAATGCAAGCAGCACTGTGGCTATTTTGACCCATAAATTTACTTTTCTGTCTCGAAGGTGCACGTTGAGCACTTTAATACATCCCATTCTGTCTCAGGCCTTTGACTGCGAACTTTTGAATCAAGAACTCTCTTTCTTTCCTGTGTGTACTGTAGAGTTCATGGTGAAAATTCCTCCAGGCTAATACAAAGTAACAATCATTATGAAAAGGACAAAGGCATGAAGATACATTGAAAGCTGATAATACTATTCCCTCCATATCACCAGCATGCTCTGTTTGCTCTGCATTCTTACACCACCCTCCTTATTGCTTTCTACTCCAGCCTACCTGATAATGAGGGACAAAGACTGTGTATTTTATTGCTGAAAGAATGTATTTTAGAGTCAAGGGTCTCTTTGCACTGTATTTGTATAGCCACTTCTGTTTAAAGAAAAACATCATTGATCCAAGTGCTCTCAGAAGAGCTCATCTATTGTAGCACACTGGGGAATGTCTTAAAAATCACTACCCCAAGTATTTGGTTCATTTGTGCAAGACAGTGTTGTTGCCTGCTCTGCTGGAGTCAGGGACCCTCAAATTACTTTAATTTCTGATTTTAGCGCAAAATTTAAAGGAAAAAGAAACAAACAAAAAAACCTCCACAAAACACCAAAAGCCCTCAAGTAGTGAGCAGGGAGAGCAGGATTGGAGACCATGGGAGCTGAGAAAGACAGCAAAGAGCATCTTGGACCAGTAAGATGCAGACACCCAAGCTTACTTTAGCGTAGGTCAGAAATAATACAATGGCCCAGCATGTCAAGACAAGGTACTTTTTGGAAAAAGCAGATGTAAATTACCCAAACAAACCATTACATTGATATAGCTAATCTGTTTTCATCCACAAGGAATTGTGTGCTCAGTCAGTTTTGGAGCTTGCTGTGCTAACTGGGGAAGCCCAGCGTGGCTCTGTATTGGATTTGGTATATATAATCAGCAAGATTGTTATATCATAGATATGTAGGAAACTTTTACCTTAAGAAGTTTTCATTTATATGACATTTTTAATCCCAGAGGTCAATAAAGGTTCTTTCATTCCTTTGCAAGTTATCTCTAGTAAACAGTAGTGTATTTCTGTATTCATAACTGCTAAAATGCTAATTAAATGAATTTAAATTCTACCAGGTGATTTCAGAAAATCTACTTAGCTTCATATTGGTAGCAAGAGCAGTAAAGTAGATTTGTGTAGGCAATATTTTGTACTGAGAGTTATCCTATTTTCAAACTGAGAATGATAACCAGTGCTGCATATTTATGCAAGTGGTAGTGAGATATGTGCACAGAAACATCACATTAAGAGTAAGTACTCCAGAGTCCATGACTCCATGTTTTTTTCTTGCAGTTAGTAAGGAACCCGCCACTAAAACTCTGTATAGTGATATTTTTGCTTCACTGGAAGATGCAACATAAGTGCAGAGATATTTAATAGTAAGTACTAAAGCTTGTCTTCATATTTTTAAAACCCCCTCTTTTTTTTTTTAATTTCTAGGAGCAAAATTCATTGGAGCTTTTCCCATCCCAGATACCTATAACCCAGATGATGATAAAATCTACTTCTTTTTTCGAGAAATATCACAAGATAGTGGCACATCTGACAAGACAATCCTTTCCAGAGTTGGGAGAGTATGTAAGGTGAGAACTCTATCTTGTTTTTTTATTTAAAGGAAAAAATCAAAGTTTAGTTTGTTTCTGTGAGAAATCTGTTTTCCTTTGTTACCCAATGAGTCATCATAGTAATTTTTCTGAAAATAGATTACTAATGCCACCTGAAATTTACCTTTCAAAAAATAGGCTTTATATTGACTTGTGTATCTCTTTTTAAAAAGCTAATATACTTGTAAATTATAATCCTGTGTCCAAATGATAAAGTACTGACCTTCAGAGATGCAACAGTGACCTCCTTTGTTTCATGAGCTTTCAGTGAGGACTGATGTGTCAAAGTGTACATGGTGGCAGGGTATTTGGGTTTTCATGGAAAGTGCCCACTGAATGTGTGGATATACAAGCCCATCCCTTCAGCCTAGCCCTGTACATCATTCCTGGGCAGTACTGAAAGCTGGGGTCAGTCATTTGTTTCTGCACATTCCTGCTAATCAGCTGGGGTGAAGGGAGGCTAAAAATGTATATAGTTTCTGAGCTACACCCACATCTGCCTGGAGGTTTCCTCCCTTGGGAAGAAGCACGGTCCTTGACCCATTGACCAGTAGGAACCAGGCCCTCTAGCCTGCTGCAGTGTAAAAAGTTCATTTGGCTGGTGCCTGGTCTCCTTTAAATGATTGATCCCTCACTTTCTCTTTCATTATGCTTACCCCTTATGGAAGATTTCTGCCCCTATGGTATATGCAGACTCAGGCGTTCATGAACTGCACTCTTTTTGGAGAAGCATCTCTGTCTAGGGCAGAAGCCTCCTCAAATGGTAATGAGAAATAAAAACAGTTCCTGCATATGAAGACAGCAGTGTAGTTTGCTGTTCAAGGGCTGATTTTGCTGAGGTCTTCTTCCCATAGTGGCAGAAGGGTCTAATGACTTGTGTGTCAGACATACTCTCTATCCACTCTCTTGTCCCTTGGGATATTCTGTAGGAACAGAAGCAGTCTGTATAAATGCTCCCATCCTGTCCTCAGGTCCTCAGTGAATCCAGATACCCAGGAATCATTGGTAAAAGTCAGGCAAATGGGACTTTAAAACTGTCTTCATATTAATATATATAAGCTTTGAGCAAATGTTTATCTCGTGATGAACTAGATATCAACAACACCATCACAGTGGTCACATGAGTAGCTACATTTCTGCGATTTCTTGTTCAGAATCATTGACTTGCATTTTCTGAGCAATGCGACTCTGCTGGCAGTGAAAATTATCTTCCTGAGAAACTTGAATATTAGTAAATGACCAAAATCAGTAAGTTGTTTGTGATCTGCAACAAGATGTGTCTGGGAGAAGAGCACCCATTCAGCTAGTGGACACATGCTTAAGAGTGGACACACTTATGAATATGTAAATCTACAACTGCTCTGCAGTTCAGCAAACTCCAAACTCCAACTGAAATTTCAGTGACCACAACCACTTCACACTTCTGTCCTTGACCTAAAGTGTTAAGAAAACAAAAAACTCATTCATAAATCAGTTCTCTAGTAGCTTTTTAGCCAGACGAAAGAGTGGATAATCTTTAGTTGGGTATTTCACAGCAGTGTGATTAATAGCAGAATGGAAATGCAAACATATATGATTTGCTGCTAGACATGGCATTTGCTGATTAGGAGAAAGCACTTAATGCATTAGGAGAAATTGATAGACAAAATTTTAAGCCAAGGCACATGAGAGAGTATAGCAAACTAAGATATATTAGCTAGAGATCTCCAGCATCCTTTACCTAAAGAAAAAAAGAGATATCATAATAAAAGCATATATATATTAAGGAAATCCTAATGACTGTGTATAACGATACCTCAAATAAGACTGAATTTGTAGAGTATTTCATGTTAATGGGAAAAAAAATTTATGATTTTATTTTTAATAGCCAAAGCAAAACAATGAAAACTGACAAACCAGGTGATTGATATTAATTGTTTTGCACTGTCTTTGTTTACTGAGCACTTCCCACTGGTTGTAGAATTCTTTTGATAATCCAGACTCCAGTTTCTATGTACATTTGTTTTCACTACCTTCAAATAAAAAAAAAAAAAAATGCTAATTATTATAATTATAGTAGAATTATTTTGGGTATTTAATATAATATAAAATATGCACATAGACTCCTGTTTATGAACTAAGATACTGTGGATCTCTGCTCTGGCGTGAAACATCTGCTATGCTTAATTGTCTGTGATATGGGAACAATGTCTTTGATTGCAACAGTTGATACCATAACAATTTCTACTCACACTGTCTCATTAATGTGACCTTACTACACAGAGTTAAGCCTTCTTTCCCTGGTAAGCAGAGAATAAAAGTGGATGGGAGGAGTCCAGCAACTTTTGAAATAATTTTCTTGATGTAAACACATTTTTTTTCTACTAGAACTTAGTTGCTGTCTACCTCACTGTGCCTTAGGGCTCCTGCACATTCATGCCAAAAACACATGCTGAAATTAGAATAGGCTTTGCTTTTAATAAGGAGCTTAGTCAATGCAGCCTATTCTTTGGCTAATTTTCAAGGGTTCAACAGTATGGTCCCTTACTGATCCTCTCCCTTAGGGGAAATCTTCTCTGGAAAGCCTTCCCCTTTCCCAGCTACTTTCAGACCCAGAAGACTACAATATTTTGCCCAGAGTCAAACAGCTGCCCCTTGTCATGTTCATCAGACCATACTTAGGGTCCTGAAGTATGAGCTGCACTGACACAGCACTCCATAGCACTCATGTAGGTTACGTCATCTTAATTCTGTGTATCACTAAGGGATATCAGCGGGACAAGGGAGGAAGTGCTTTCAACAGTCGCTTTCAGAACTAGTTGTGTAATTCATCATGGCAAATGGCATTTCCTGTTTTTGGTTTGAGGGAAACAGAAGAAGTATCATTGCGCTATCGGTAATACCTGATAGTACTTAACAGTATGTTCATGGTTAACATAAATTGCAGTCTTTATGGTTATTTGCTTTCTTTTCATGTAAGACTATAAGTAAAAAGAAAAAAATACTGTGGAAGATTAGCCAGAAAAGTTTATTTCTTTTCTAAAATGCATATAGTTACACATATGTATATTAAGTGATCATACAAACCTTAACTCCTTAAGACTGTGGACCCACGTATTTCTGTTTCTAGAAACATGGACATAAGCTTTTGCAACTACATTGTCTTCAAGACCACACTGCTGAAGTTGACACAGTAATTACACACTAAGCAAGATTTTGAAGAAAAAAAAATAAATTTGCAGCATCCGTGTGTTGTGCCCTGTGCAGTCAAATAACAAGTCAGCTACATTTTTTGTATATCTGCTGCTAAATGTTCGTAGAGTTCTAATTTGGTTTATCGATGACTTCACACATGCACAAATATAGCCCTAGAAAGACACAGGTTTCCCCCCTATTTTCCCCACTCAGATAAAGAGAAAAATAAAAATTCTAACACAAAAGAGTCCACAGAAAGGTTTTGGGGAGGGAAGAAGGTTGTTGAAGCTTTTGTTTGTTTGTTATCTATATAGAAACACAGTTCTTTTCAAAGTTATAATCTCATTCTATTGGAATGGAGTGGAAATTAGCCAAAAGCAGTAGTCTCTCTGCTGCAGTATGCTGCTGTTTATTATTACAGTGGTTTGCATGTGCTGTGTTATAAGATTCTTTTTAATGGTTTTGATGATGTATTGCAAAAGTTAGGGCGTGCAGTCTTAGAGACTGGTTTCTGAGACCTCAACTGCCAAGACTTTGGCCTCTGATGCTTTCCCATATTTCCCAAAGTGTTCAGTATCCAGAAGCAACCTTTGTTCTAGTGGGAACAAGTGAGCTCTTTGTCTTTTTTTTTTTCCATCCCTATATATGCCACGCTGCACCTGGGGACAAGAATATAGCAATTAGGCACAGCCCTCTTGGTTAAACTGTACTTTCTAAGCACACTGGAATGTAATCATTTTAAGAGCTCTTGAGTTGAGAGCCCTGGACACACCCAGCATTCCACCTTTAGGTGATGTTATTTATTTCCAAAGCCATGAACATGAGCAGAGTTCAAGGCTATGACCTTGTCTCCCATCTGGTACTTCAATCACTTTGTATTCCCAGAATGGCAGGAGGCAGCTATTCTGCTGAGACTTCAGGTCCGGGGTCTCCAGTGGGCTTTGCCACAGGGCTGCTTGGATGTAAAAGTTAAGAGGTGTTTTTCTTGTCCTGGAAATAGTCTAGCCATGCCTTTACTGTGGCTAGGGATAACTGGGTCTTAACATAATTTGTCTTTCTATACTGTGTTATGCTACACAGTGTAGATAATTGATCTCCAAAACCTTTTGGGTTATCCTCACACTGTAATGCTTTACTGTTCAGCCCTGCTAGCTGGGGTCCCGGAAGCAAAATAGCCATGTTAACATGTTCTCAGCAGGGCTAATTAGTCTGGGCTCAGAGCCATACTCGTGCAGCTATCCTGCTTCCAGTTCTGGAGGCAACTCATTCCAGACAAGATTTAACTTCCTGCATATTACATGCTTATATACTTCCTCTGTCACCATAATATTGCCCAACTACAATGCCAGCCATGGGTAATAATTTTTTCTTTCTTGATTTCTCAATGATAATGATTAAAAACATTCTGAAACAGTCATCCCTAGAACAACTTTGGCCCTCATTTGCCCCTTGAGCGTCTTTGCAGCAGTGATTCTTTCTGCAGCCAACTCCTCTTGGACTTCCAAATTTGATATTTGTATAATATATGCCATTTGAAAAGTTTCAAATTATGTAGAAAAGCAGATGCTCATCATGTTAATTTCATTTTTTTAAGGGCTGATGTGTTGGAGACAGGCCAGTTCCATACAATATCTGCTTCTAGCTGTGATGGATTAAGAGATATAGCATGAGGCTTTGTCAGGTCTTTTAGTCCAACTTTCCTTATTGGCAAGGGTAGAAGCATAAGTATAGGAAGTTTTGTATATTTTCTGTCCCTCATCGGTGTGTTTCAATAATATAATGAGGGGGGGAAAATCATGATTTAC